GGGGGGTGCTGGGCTGAGTGGGAGGTGCTGGGCTGAGGGGGGGTGCTGGCTGAGCGGGGGCGACAGAGGAAGCTGTAGGGGCAGGGGCAGGGGTTGGAGCCAATGATTCACACTCCACACGGGGTTTAACCCTTAGCAGAAGCAGCTGTCCCAGGAGAAGTGGGCACCGTCCCCTGGGCCCAGGAATGTCCTGTCCCAGCATGTCCTGTCCCGGCAGCCTCACCCTTCCACTGGGTGGGACCAGGGCTGGGATGACATCAGCGCCGTGGGCGTGGCCTGGGGACTGAGCGGGCGCCCCATGGAGCGGGGGCAGGTTGGCCGTGGCACCCCGCCTGGGCAGTGGCAGAGTCTTTGGGCCCCTCTGCGTGGGCTCGTCTGGGCTCCCCAGGGAACCTGGCTTGAGCCTGAGTGTCCTTGGTCCTCAGGATCTGGAGGCCCGGAAACACCCCTGCCAGGCCCCTTCCCCAGGGACCGAACCCCCCGGGCCAGGGGCCATGTCCTGTCCCGGCAGCCTCACCCTTCCACTGGGTGGGACCAGGGCTGGGATGACATCAGCGCCGTGGGCGTGGCCTGGGGACTGAGCGGGCGCCCCATGGAGCGGGGGCAGGTTGGCCGTGGCACCCCGCCTGGGCAGTGGCAGAGTCTTTGGGCCCCTCTGCGTGGGCTCGTCTGGGCTCCGCAGGGAACCTGGCCTGAGCCTGAGTGTCCTTGGTCCTCAGGATCTGGGACCCGGAAACACCCAGGCCAGGCCCCTTCCCCAGGGACCGGACCCCCCGGGCCAGGGGCCAGTGGCTACAGCGTTTAGAGCCCCGGTTTATTGTTAACTGTTTTACTGTGAAAAACTTTAAGCCTGCGGGGGGCTATAACGAGCACTTGCACATCCCACACCTGGAGTTAACGCATAGTTTGAGTTTTGCTGTATTTGCTTCACCAGCCAAGCTCAGGCCGAGTGTGTGAAATAGTTTATAGACGTCCCGGTGCCCCACCCAGTAGGTCATTCAGCCGCAGTTAGCGACTCCCCGTGCTCCGCTGGAGCCGCCCTGAGCCTGAGTGTCCTTGGTCCTCAGGATCTGGAGGCCCGGAAACACCCCTGCCAGGCCCCTTCCCCAGGGACCGAACCCCCCGGGCCAGGGGCCAGTGGCTACAGCGTTTAGAGCCCCGGTTTATTGTTAACTGTTTTACTGTGAAAAACTTTAAGCCTGCGGGGGGCTATAACGAGCACTTGCACATCCCACACCTGGAGTTAACGCATAGTTTGAGTTTTGCTGTATTTGCTTCACCAGCCAAGCTCAGGCCGAGTGTGTGAAATAGTTTATAGACGTCCCGGCGCCCCACCCAGTAGGTCATTCTGCCACAGGTTAGCGACTCCCCGTGCTCCACCAGAGCCGCCGGGACCTAGAAACGCCTGCAGGACCTTTGGCCTCTGGGCCCTGCCGGTGCCTCCTCGGGTGGCAGGCCAGGCCGGGCCCTCCCAGAAGCAGCTTCCCCTGCTCTCTCCAGCTCCGAGCAGGGCCCGCGAATAACTCCTCCCCAGAAACCCGCGTGTGTCTTGTTGACCAGCAGCACAGGGACAGCAG